TAACTTTCTTAAACTAAGGTTAGGCGTTCATCAGACACTGGACAATGTCATAAAGATTAGAAGTGAGCTTATCGTGTGAGTGTGCGTTGGGGGCTTACCGAGGAGACCATCTGTGGCCTAATGAAGACTGCGCCTTGGCCTGAGAGTGCAAGGGGCTTTTAATGCATCTGTAAGAGCAGCAGGTTTACTGAGCAGCAAGACATTAGCTAAAGCTGATTTCTTTACTGGAAACCCGTGCTTGAGGATCTTTCGAAAGGGCATTGTGTGTGTGTGTGTGTGTGTGGGTGTGTGCTTGCTTGCCTGTTGCAGGGAATTGAATCTGGACAAGCTGCTGCACATTTTCTTCTCGAACGCGGCCTACGTCTCAGCCAGCGCCGCAGATTCAGATGAAGTTCCGTGTCCAGAAACGCTGAATCTTGTGCGCGTGTGTACGTGACTTCCACCCACGTCGCAAGTGACAGAAGGACGGGATGCCAGGGCCTCCCGCCTGGGCCCTTCTGCAGCACGACGCTCGGTGCGGAAGCAGGAACGCGCTTAAAAAGACTGGAGATTTGAGCTTTCTATTTTTGAGTTTATTTAACAGCATGATCAAAAAAATTACATGCATTTTATGTTTTTTGGGGGGGTTTTTTTGGAAGCTTCTAGCAATACATTAGGGAATGTTCATGCCTAATGTATCAAAATTTACACAGCAGGCATTTTTGGTAATGTGTTTCCCAATCCGAAAAGAGCTGCCTTAAAAACACATAACAGGATCTGTACTCTAAATATGAAGTTAGTCAGTGAAGTAGTGCTGGACGACTTAAAATTTTATCATGATATTTTGTGGTAGTATTGTGATAACGTTAAAAGTGGCAATACAAACTTTATTTCTTTTTTTTTTTTAGGCAACTCTATGGTTGTGACTGACATAACATTGATTAAAAATCCCCACAAACACAAATGCTGCGCTTGAAAAACATTCCTATTCCTAACACGCTTCTTTAGGACATGAGTCACATAAAGAAGTGTGATTTATATCCCTAAGCTGTACACAGTAACCACATTAAATCATATTCTTAAATGTATTGATAAGCAATATTGTCATTGGACAAACATTGAGAGAAAATATTAAACCTAACAATCCCAATGATATGGACAGTTATTTTGAATTTATCGTGATCTTGATAAATTAAAAATGAGAAACGATACGATAAATGCAAACCTCAACAACGAGGAAGTGATCGCGTAGAAACGGAATCGCAACCAATACGTTTAGCGTTTTATACATTTTCCATCAGAAAAACGAAACAAAAGTACTTCACACCAGGGCGGAGGTTCGGGATTCTTATAATTTATTGCAGTTTTGCACACAATTTTTAAAAATGTCAACAACAGCACACCAAAAAAATTACAAAACTAAATACAATTAGAATTTACTCCCCTTGAGAAAAAGAAAACAAACCCAGCTATGATTGTCAAAGCTAAAATTGACTAAAATTGGAAACAGAACCTCGAAAGAAAAGCAAAGAAATTTTGTAATCTCAACAGGGGAGCAAATATATCTCAAAAAAATCTGCTTGTTTTTTTTTGTTTGTTTGTTTGTTTGTTTTTCTCCAGACAGTGATTGTCCTTTTTCAAAACAGATCCAGTCATTATATGCCCCCTCCCTCCAACACCGCCTCCCAACATTTTATGACTTCCTATGAACTTCCTTTTTGTCTCATACTTTTTTTTTTGTTTTTAACCTTTTACCAAAAAAAACAAAAAAAAAACCCTCACCCACCCTCCCCTTCAAGTAAGCACAGCAAAAGATGGAGACGTCATGTCAGGGCGGTCGCCGGTCCCTCGTCTCCACCTCACACTTCAACAGAAATATATTTAAATTAAAAAAAAAAAAAAATTAGCTTGGACTACAGCAGTTTAAGGCGGTCAAGCACAACCAGAGGAACAAAAACATTAAAAAAAAGCAGCAGTAGTGATGAAAACAACAGCAGGATGGAAGGAGCCCATATGCAGAGGCGCCGCCAGTGAAGAGATAACATTTCAAGACCCAAAAAAAAAAGGAAAAAAAAAAGAGAAGATGTGGTGCAAACTGCTGCAATGTCACCCACACTGTTGCGTTGGCAAAGCCTGCAGGTGCCACCAGATGACGGTGGCGTGCGCGCACGAACACACGCACAAACACACGCACGCACGCATCTGAGAGGAGAAGGAGGAGGAGGAAACGTTGGCGCGCCTGCATCGCTGCCAAATGCTTTTTGGATTGTACAAACGCTTGACCATCTTTTAAAGAGCAATTGTTAAACTGATGTAGCCCCAACCCAAACACAACAATCACTACAAAAATAACAAAAAACAAGTCCAATTATTTAATCAAACTATAGTTAGACAATATTTGTCTGAATTCAGCACATTTACATGATTTCCATCAATCATTTCTAAATGTTTTCCAGTATCAGATACTTCCACAGCTTTAGAAACGTCAGTTTTGAATAAAGGCATCTTTTCAGCAAAATTAGGTTTTCACGCATTTTAGCTTAAAAAGGTGCTTGTACAGATTTAGGCCAGGGGTCTGCAACCTGCGGCTCCTAATAACATTGGTCCAAATGCTTTTATACTGAGCAGTGATTTTTACATAAAGGAGGTCAGCTTTCATGGATTATCAACTATAGATTTCCACAACAGAATGACACTAATAGTACAAGATATTTTTTTAAACAGAATGAGACCAAACTTTTATTTCTTTTTAGCTTCGTAATCTTCTGGTAAAACATTGGTGTTTTTCTTTCTTCTGAAACCAAAAGAAGTGAAAATTTGGTTCTTTAACCATAAATTGCTAAAATGTTCAATGACATTTGTCATAGTTTGAAAGGTTCAGGTTGGCTTTGTGGCACTTGAAGAACTCCATTTATTTTTAGCGAGAGCGAAAAATGACTCTTTGGGTTATAAAAGTTGCTGACCCCTGATCTAGGCCAATTCTCTGCCATCTCCTCTAAAGGAAAGTCTCAGGTAAATTATGGCATCCGCTGCAAACAGATGAGGAACGGCGTGACACAGATATCTGACCCTTACACTTTAAAGCAAGAGAGCTTGGGCTTAACCTCCTCTACCTCTCTGGGTATCCTTCACATCTCAGCCAAACCGCGTTATCAGACTGCCCCCTGCCCCAAAAAAGGAGGTCAGATCTGTAGAGATAAATAAGAAACGGCTTAACCAGGAAGCAGAAGAAGACAAAAGAGAAGGGAACGCAAAGCAGTGGGGACATTTGATGCCTGAGGAGGAGCAGGGGGGACGAAGAAGTGCTGGGTGGATGTAGAGCTTCAGTAGGTTCGATCGACTGGCACAGACCAGGTCTCTCACACACACATACACACACACACACACACACAGCAGACAAATCAGTGCTTAAAATGCTTCATCAGGTCGCCTCTCAGCTAAAAACTTTTCACCAACAAATTTACCGTTAGAACATCTTCCCCCTGCCTTCCCCCGTTCCGATGCAAAAACAACCTAAAAGTTTAAGACCAAATCAAATTTCCATGCATTTTTTTTCCTCCCCCCTCGAAATCGAGAGTGATATTCAGTTTTTCATTTTTCAAAACAGACCACACCCTGGAGTAGTATTCACAAAGAAAAAGAGGGAAAAGAAAACGACAAAAAAACAAACAAAAAAAAAGCCTGTTGTCAAATATTTGTTCAATTACAATGTGTACAGTTATACAGCAGATTCACATTTTCATTTTTAAAATATACAGGTTTGGACATCATGCAACAACAGCAGGTCCCATTACAAAAAAAAGTAACAAAAAATAATATTAATAATAATAATAATAATCATTAAGTTAAAAAAAAGGGATTAAAATCTTTAAACTATAGCAGAACAATATACAACAACCTTAAATTAAATACATTTACAACAAGAGATGTTTTAAAGACTGCCAGCTAGATTCAAGAAAAAAAAAATCTATCAATAATAATAATAATAATAATAATAATATTTGTAAAGGTCTTCTCATTTTTAGAAAATACTTCAGATTGATTGGAAGTGAAAAAAGGAGGCTGTGCATTGCATGAGTGCCATCAGTCAGTCAGTCAGTCAGCTTTCCCCTGAACACACCAACACACCAAAGAGCTTAACGAGAGAAGTGGGGAGCGCTCGCCAACGACACCTTCATGCCAGGAGGAAAATCTAATTTAACACACACAAAAACGCACGCACGCTCACACATGATTGGTGATTTCTCTTTTGTTTATCTGTTTGTTTTTTTATTGTTTGTCGTCGTTTGCTTGCTTTTGCCGGAGTAGTGCAGAATCAAACGCGCACACGCATACGTACTCAGACGGCGGCGTGCGCGGCGGCCTCACAGTACCCGTTTTCTTTTTTTTATTTTTTTTTTTATTTAGTGTGTTGTTTCAGTGTGTTCGACATGAACTCCTGTTGCCTGTGGAACCGGTGAGGCCGGCGATGGGAGTGTCGTATCTGGGGTGAAACAGACACACGCAGAAATTTCTTCCAAAAACAACAAAATAATAATAATAATAAAGAATAAAAAAAAGACACTTAGGGAGGGAGCCGTGTCCTCAGACGCCACACACACACACACACACCAAAAAACAAAAAAAACAACAGAAGAGAACTAATGCCAAATTGTTACGGGACTTCAAAATAAAATAAAACAGAAACCCCCAAACAGACGGTAAAAATAAGTCAGTAGTAACATTTTCATGTGCTATTAAAGTGCGGTTGAATGAGATGTCGCAACGAATAAGAACATGACTCACTTAAACCCCCGACCGCTTAACTCTGCCACCTTCCTCTCACCTCCCCAAGCCTCGTTCAAACCCGACAATCCGACTCTACTTCCATAACTCCTGGGAGCTGTCCTCGATCGCCCAATCCCTGACGTTGGGCAGCGCCAGCGGCTCGCTCTTCACCGACAGCGAGTTCACCAGTTCGCAGTGGAACTTGCGGATGTGTCGGTAGAGGTCCCCGGACTGCGTGAAGCGCCGCTCGCACCACTTGCACGCATGCGGCTTCTCACGGGTGTGCACCACCGCGTGACGGCTGAGGTTGTGAGAGTACTGGAAGCTCTTGCCGCAGGTGGTGCAGGTGTAGGGCTTCTCACCCGAGTGTGTCCGCTCGTGGCGCTTCAGCGTGTACATGCAGGAGAAGGTCTTGCTGCAGATGGTGCAGGTGGGCACGTTGACGTCCCCGGCGGGCTTGGAGCGGATGCCCTCCTGCTCCCTGAAGTGGGAGCTGAGGTGGAGCTGCAGGATGTGCGGTGAGGGGAACACCTTGTTGCACAGCGGGCACATGAAGATCTGGGTGTGCTGGGCCGACAGCATGTTGGAGACGTAAGGCAGCAGCGAGTTGTCCATGCTGGCCGCTTCGGCCTGGGCGTGCTCGTTCTCCCCCCCCAGGATGTCCTCGTTGGCAGCGGCCGAGGCCGGGGGCTTCTCGTCCCTCTCCAACTCCGACGCCAGAGACGCCTCGCGCAGCGCCGACAGGTGGGCCTCCAGACCCAGCCGCCTCTGGGCCGACAGGGGCCCGCCCACTCCGTGGTGGCTCAGGCATCCGTTGGCGCTGGGAACCTGCGTCTTACCGAGGCCGCTGTGCTCCATGTTGTAGTCGCTCCCGCCCAGTTCCTCGTCTTCGTCGGAGGCCACCCCCCTCTCCACCTTCACCCTCACCGCCAGCGGGCTCTGCAGGCTGTCCGGCGTAGCCGCCCCGCTGAAGTAAGACGGATGGTGGTTGCTAACGGCAATGGGCTTCACCGACAGGTCCAGGACGCAGTCGGCCGCGTCGTTCGACACCCTCCTGCCCCTGTGGCCGGCGCGGGAGCTGATGGAGCGGTGGGATCTCTGGGAGAGCGACCCAGTGGAGCTGCTGGGGCTGCCGGCGGGCGACAGCGCCTTGCCCCCTTCTCCCAGGCCTTCACCTGGCTGGCTCGCCGCCTCTCCGTGCCCCGGACTGGCCGCAGCCCCGCCCGGTGTCCCCGGTCTGTCTGCCGACGGCAACCGCAGCCACAGCTGGCTTCCCTCGGCCTTCCCCTCCTCCTCTTCGTCGCTGTGCAGCAGGTCGGCCGTGGCGGGCTGCCCCGTCGAACCGTCGGACAAACTGTCGGCCTTGTCGGAGCAGCTGGAGCCGCCATCGTCCTCCCTACGCGTGCTGTCCGCCTCCGCCGTGGCCTTCTGCTTCAAGCGCTTCTTGCACACCTTCACGATGTCGTACATGTGCAAGTAGCTGGCCGCCGCCAGCACGTCCTCCACGGGAAGGTCCTGGAACTGCAGCTTGCCCTCGTACATGAACTCCAGCAGCAGGGAGAAGGCCGGCGCCGTCACGATGTCGCTGTTGAGATGCACCACGTCTCGCTTGTCCAGCTGGTCCTTGTAGAACAGGTGGAAGTACATGCTGCAGGAGGCCAGCACGGCGCGGTGGGCGCGGAACTGGGCATCGCCCACCAGCACCATGGAGTCGCACAGGAAGCCCTGGTGCCGCTGCTCGCTCAGACACTGGAGTAGATGTCTGCTGTGGTCTGGGAACTCCATCCTGCCGTCCTCATAACCTGCAGCCGGGAACACAGAGGACACACACAGTGAGTGTGTGCGTTCGCCTTTTTACGGCTTTTAAACTGTCGCTAACAAGGAGCCGAATGGTGTGATAAGCTGAACGCGCTCCGAAAATGAAATGAACAATTCCAGAACACTTGGAAATTTGAGCTAAACTTGAAGTCAGGACTTTTTAAATTCAAGACTAAATATTATTGTTTTTAATCCTTGCAGTTATCCAGCTACAATTATATTTTAGAAGTCGAAAAAGGTAAATGGAGAACAAGATGTGGTACCAGACAGAGGAAAAAAGAAACATCACGAGCAGAGAAAATCACCGGGAGGAAAAAAATAAGCACATTTTTAAAATTTGAAAATAGCAAAGATAAAAAAAAAAAAAAAGACATTTCCCACATTGGTAATATTTTTTATCTAAAATGCAACACATTTTTTAATTACTGCTCAGATTCTTTCTGTAAATATTTAACTCATTCAAATATGAAAAACATTCAGAAAAATGTAGATAAAAAAACTGAATATCGACTTGTCCATGTTTTTTTTTTCTAACCATGACTTAATCTCAGATAAACCTCCAGAGACAGATTCCTCCACTCAGTCTTCCTGCAGCTCTCCAACTCCTCTGCTTGCACTCCTGGATTGTCGCTGCTCCTACGCTGGTTATTTTTATTAACCCACTTTGGCCTGGCCTGGCGCAGCCCTTTTAGGTAACCAGCTTTCAGCTGCGTGCTCTGTCCGCACATACATACATACACACACACACACACACACACACACACACTCTGAGCACCAGCCTACCTACCTACAAACCACCTCCACAGACTAAGTCAGGAAGAAAAACTGGCTGAATGGAAAAAACAGAAGAAGGTCCAGAAATGAAAAAAGCTTGTCCTTCGTTTAACCTGTGAGCGCCGGCTTAAGATCTGAGATAAGGTATGGAGGAAAGGATGGAGAATGTTAATATTGTCTGAACCAGAGGAGGAAAAAAAAGTGAATTCAATTTACCTCGTTAAAATGAGGGCTTTGGGAGCTGAAAGTTTTAGGATAGAAGAGGAAGAAAATGAAATGAGCAAAACATTAAAATAAAAGTCCCACCTGTTAACCAAGTTGATTTGTCCTGCCTGAGAAAATACATGGGTCCTGCTCTGCGCTGTGTTAACCCGAGCGGTTCAGTCGCCTCATTTGAATGAAGCTGAAGCAGGAATGCGAGCGTGTGCGTCTGCGGGCTGCGTACGTGTGTGTGTGCGCTCGCCCTCCGGCTTGCTCAGACTGCTTTTAATGAGGCGACTTACGGGGGGACAAGGGTGTACCACCTCCCACCTCCTCCTTCTCCTCCCCAACCCTCTGTCCAGCCAAACCCCCCCCCCCTCTCTGCCACCTCCTCAGACACACACACACACACACACACCATTCGTTCCTTACGCACTCCTTCCCATCTGAATCTTACGAGGAAAAAAAAAGAGAAAAAACTCCCTGCACATCCGCCCCGCAGAAGAAACTGCCCTCTTCCTCAACCCTCCCACCCACCACCAAGAAGAGAAGATTTACAATACAATCACTGTAAGTGCCCTGCTCGTCACAGCATCAATCCTAATCCTTAAAGATGGCTAAAAATAAAGACGGCGGCGGTGGTGGTGGCGGCAGCGGCAGGGAGCTGGGGAGGGAGCCGGCGGTGGCCACCCTGCCCCTAACCCCGGGCCCGGGCCAGCCGACTCCGTCAAGACAGGGGTCTGCAAGAGGAGACACACACACAAACACACACACACACACAAGGAGGGCAAGGGAGGGAGCGGCTGGGACGGCCAGGGAGGGAGGCTTACCCACATCTGATCCAGCTGACGGGGGCCATATGGCAGCTGCTAGCCAGATAAAGAGATTAAGACTAGGAGGGAGTGCGATTACAGCTGTCTAGCCAATTCAGGCAGCTCAAATCTGCAACTTCTAAATTAGTCTTCCTCCACTCCAGCCGACAGGAAGGGGAGAGCAGCGGGCAAGCCCGGGACCGCGCATGCTTTCAAGTAATACCGAAACGCGACAAAATCGACTGGAAACGGACAAAAAAAAAAACACAGAATCATATTATTCGGATTTAATAAGCACTTATTTCGGTTTAAAATGTACTTTTGTGTTTCGATTTAATAAGTAGTGGATTTATTTTCATTTTTTTGTACTTATGTTACATCTGTAAAAGTTGCACAAAATTTAAAGATTACTTTACTTTGTGCTTTCTGCTTGGATTATATTACATAAATACATGGAAAGTGTCCAAAACATATCAGAGAGCAGGAGCTTTAAACTCAGACTAAAAACTAAAAAAACAACACTGGCGGCAGCAGCAGCAGCAACTACTTTTACCGTTTACCGCTAACATACCCACTACCATCCTCAAACAGCATTCAAACAAGCTTGACACTCAGGGAAAACCTCCAGAATAAAATAACTACTCCTCTATCCCGGACTGCATCTAGGCATCACACACACACACACAGAAAACACACAGAAACGATACCTGCAGCAGCAGTACGCATCAACTTGATTAACTCCAGTGTGGCAGGATAGCCGGGCTTGCTCTCTCTCTCTCTCTGACTGGCTGTGTATCCTTCTCACTCTGAATCAATGAGTGGGTAGAAGAGCAGAGCAGAAGATGAGGGGAGGCAGGCGGAGGAAAGGAGAGAGAAAAAAAAAAAAAACGAAGGGAAAAAAACAAATAAACAAAAAAAAAACAACAGCACGCTGTTCAAACTGCAAGGGACAGATGCAAAGTGGAGGAGATGTTGGAGGGGGAACGAGATACCACCTCCCTCCTCTTCCTCCTCCTCCTCCGCCTCCTCCTCCTCCTTCTTCTTCTTCTAACCAGCGCTGATCGCCGCGCACACACACAAACGCAGCGCTAACTCTCCCAGGCTGCCGCTGAGACTCACAATAAAGGATCGGGGAGGGAGGTGGGAGGGGAGGTGGAGGGACGGAGGAGGAGGTGGGGTGGATGGCAGCCTGTCAGCTGCTCTGACATCATCCTCAGATGGAGATGCTACCTCCAGCTGTGCTCTTTCTACAGCCATATGCTGCCTCCTCTACACTCCTGCCACCAGACTCCTCTTTCATTCTACCAACACTCCACAACTTTGTCCCCCCCCCACCACCCCTCATCCCACCTCCTCCTACCCCCACCACCCTTCCCTTTTGCTCTCTCTCTCTCTCTCTCACTCTCTCTCTCCCTCTCTGGGAAGAAAAAGAAAAGCTACTAAATGCAGTGGGATGCTGATTTGTGTCATCATTAAACTAGAGGAGAGCTACGTTCCAGAGAGAAAGGGGAAAGTTTGCACAAAAAAAAAAAAAAAACACCAAAAAGAATTGAGGCTAAAAACTTTTTTTTTTCCTTTCCTGAACTGTTTTGGATGTTTTTAAATGCAGCTCCTTCCAGTAAGCATAAACAAAGGCCAGCACAGCACATTCGCAACTGACAAACGCACCCAGCTGATATTGTTTCCCACTTTTTTACGGTTCAGCGCCGCTGCGCCTCGTCTTGTATTCATTCACTCCGTCATTTTATTCATTCACCAAGCTGTGCCCCTCTCTCTCCCCCAACTCCCACTCGCAACCCTTCTCCGCCTCCTCTGTTTCGGACAAGGATGAAATGAGGGGAAAACAATGAGGACAAGTCGTAAATAAAGAGCTCAAAAAGAAAAAAAAAATTGCAGACGGGGAGCAACTTATTACGAGATTGTTATTTCGCTTTCGTTTCAGCTTTGAGTGAAAGTGCACAATTTTGCAGGAAATTGTCCATTTTATTCGGTAAAGATCTTAATGTCTTTTCACGAGAAAAATAAAGAAATAAATGATGAATAAAATTTGAATTTTAAGCAGCTCTTTAATTTAACAATAACAGCTGGAGAAACTTTAGATTCACAAATTGAAATTCCAGTTATCCTCTTGTGTTTTCTGTGAGGAACATGTGGGAATCATTTTTTCAGTCAGCTGACTGACAGTGCGCAGGAGGGGCAGTTTTGGTTAATCTATGGTAGGGAACTTTGGTCACTTTCCTTGGCATCAAATTAATTGCATTTTCCTCCAGAGGAGCATTATGAAGGAGATTATTTTATTTATTTTGAGCCTGAAAGGTTTTTGAAATTATGTTACAACTTGACCTCTTAACATCTTTGTAAATGTGAAGCTTCAGATAAGTTTACCTGCTGTTTAATTTATAAGAGCATGAATATACGAATAGTTGTATAAGGATTATAAGAGTAAAGCGATTGTAGTTGCAAATAAATGATTAATTACAAATGTAGTATTTATATTTGTCTTATAGAGCTTTTTAATATTTACCTTTAAATAATTAAAGTTTTGCGCTGATCAGAAAAGTAAAAAAAAAAAAGCTACACGTTTTAAACAAACTTTAGATTAACTTTAGAAATGTCTCTTTAGGTAGAGCTATTTATTACATGTGTTTCTGTGCGTAATGAAGAAGTAAATAACTCCAATAAATTACCCTGATTGTTTAAGTTGGTTTCGGGTACCGCAGACTTCCTTAAGCACAGTTTAAGCTTTGTTTGCTGGGGGGAAATTAGCTTAAAAGTCGAAGTAGTGTTACAGCTGCCGAACGGGAGCGGGCTGTTATTAATTTCTCTCCAGAAGACACAACAAACAAACCCGGAGACACACTGACCCACGCAGCTAGCTGTAGCCCCGGCCACGGCTAACAAAAGTAAAGGCGGACCGGGGCTCCGGTAGTCCTGAGCTATTTACGGTTGTTCCGAAGGCCCCGGTGCTATGACAACAGCTGGTGAAACACCGCGGAGGGACGGCCAACATAGCGACCGTTAGAGCGAAGAGACAACACGGTCATGCTAAGGAAGGTTTAGCTACTTTTCCCCTCCTCCGTAACCCTCCTTTAATAGGACTCCCGTATCGGAGGCAACACTTACAGACAACAAGGTCCTCCTCCGTCAATTCCCCCCGTCTTCTTCTGCTTCTTCTTCTTTTCCTTCCCTTCGGAGACCAAACTAGGTTGACTTTGGACTAATTTCCATAGCAGGCTGCCAGGTCGAGCAGGCGCTTTGCAGGAACAGGGGGAGTGTAGCACTCTGCGGCGGCCAGATGTTTCCGAGCTTGTTGCTGCTGAACTCGAGCCGGGGAAGGAGGCGAGTTGACTGGCACGGCACGGAAGCCAGCGGTGCCGGCGAGGAGGAGGAGGAGGTGGAGGAAAAAAGTCAAGGCCGTCTCACAGTGGAGGAGTGAGAGAGGGAGGGATATGTCTTCTTTTTCTCTCGTTGGCGTAGGTTGACACCAGGCAACAACAGCAGCAGCGGCGGCAGCAGCAGTACACACACAGTGAGGAGGCAGGAAAAGAAGACGCTGGGCCAAACCAACTGGTTCTGCGAGTCAGCGGGGCGGACTTACTGGCGCAGCACAGAGCGAGTGGAGAGAGGCGCGATGTGCTCTGGGTACTGTAGTCAAGGAGGAAGGGTGGGGGTGATGGGGAGGAGGCAGAGCTGACGAGAGCAGGTGCACCACCTTGACTGAAAAACACACAGCTGGTTTCAATGGAGCTGGATGCTGCTTAATGTATGATTGTTGGAATAACAGGAATATACACTCAGGTCTTAATCAGTGGCATAACAGCTGTGCCTCCACCAGAAGTGCCTGTTTAGTCCTCATAATGAGTAAACAGATGTAATAAATGAGTCGTATGGTAGCACACTGCATTCGCAAGCAAATCTGAGTCCTTTTCAGTCATGGAGAGGAAAGAGAGGCAAGTACCTATTTTTAATAAAGCAACCCATAAGATACATTTTGGAAGTGTAATTATAAGCTATTGAAATCATTAACATTTTATTATGTATATCACTTTTCAAATGTAATGTTCAATAAAGGCTGAATTCTAGCAAAATCAGATGCAGATATGGTGATAACGCCTATATGGACATTTTGATTATAACTTAACTGAATAAGGTTCAGCTTTCCTATTCGTTATATATGATGTATAACACAGAATCAGCATTTAATTTGTTAAAATGAATCAAGTAGCTCAGTTTGTAAATATAATGTTTAGTTATGGTTAAATATTAACAACAAACAATATCCTAGCTAAGTATATTAAATAGAATTAAACTAATATTGGTTCACTCAAGTGTTATTTCCATTTCTCTTGTGAAAAGTCCATCGAAGAACTGTAAGGTTTATATTTATCATATGTCATATTATATTTCTCAATCTGTATGACTTCTGCACTGGAGGGCATGTTTAATACAATGTAATGAAACAGAAGTTAAAAGAAGAAACAAGCATGCCAACAACCTTCAAAAACCAATCAAAAATGTTAAAAAGGTCAGGAAAAATATGATCTTTTTTTATATATTATTTTATAATAATATAGAATTTGTCCATATATCAACTGTTTTAATAAATAACATTGTTTGATTTTGTTTTGTCTGTTTTATAAATTCATGTATCAACAAATTTAAAATAAAACCTAGCTGTGCAATGTTATTAAGCTTGTGGTTAACAAAGTTTCTGTGTAATAGCAATTGTTTGTTTTCTTCCACCTTTAAATAGTTTAGCAAATGTGCTAATAATGAAGTTGCTATCAAGCTTAGCTCCTTAACCCTAAAATAGTTATTGTCATTTCAGCTGAAGTTATCAAAGAAAATGTTATTCTACTTTGTTCTAGAAGTTTAAAAGGTTTATTAGTATTCCAGTAATGTTTTATTAGTTTGGGTTTAGGGCACAGAATACAAGTGAAATGGTAACAAACCCCACACAACTAGTAAGTGTTGTTCATTGCTGCCTCAATGTTTATAATCTCAGCGTGCTAGCAAGTGTAACTTTAGCATTAGCATAGCTGCTAAAACGGGCCAAAAACTTAAATTCTTTCTCCTACACAGAAAATCTTGAACACAAGTCTAATGAGAGCTTTTAACTTTTATTGATTTTCTCTGCTACAGAAACACAGACTTGTCAAACTTGTAATTTGCCTCTAAAATCTCATGTGGGATTAAAGTATTCCTCAAGCTGGTTTCCAAATAAATGTGTTTCAAAGACCATAGGATAATATCAGTTAAAGGAGACCATCCAGACTTCCACTTATCTATCACTAAAAGTAACTTTTGCATCTTCAAAACATTTTCAGAACATGAATAAGCTCCAAAACATATAATATTTTCAGTACCTGAATAAAAGAACAAGGAGTAGCTTTGCATGAAGAAACGGATGTAAATGTCGCAGCTTTTCTGTGCTGGCTGAGAGGTTTTAGCTCTCCCTGGAGACACATGACTGGCACTTTAATGGGAGACCTATGACTCGCTTTGCCTTGTAATGCTGAGGCTTTGTGTGGCAAGGCTTGTTTAACCTGTAAAAGGCTGTTTACAATAATCAAATTGTTCTCCACATTAACACTTGTGTTTGCACGCACTGACAGGTGCGTCTAAAATGTGCCGGTATATTTATACCTGCCATGCGACATAGTTTTCTCATATTATAGTCATTATGCGAGCATCAAAAATGGGGTTTCCACCATCACAAATCACAGATATGTCAGTGAACTTATTCAGTTAAGACTGCTGCACCTTACACATTTGCTTAAAACTTCTCTCAGATGTGGGTCACTGGGACAAAAACCCTTTTTATCACATTTCTGCTTGTTAACAGAGGCCTGATGTAAAAGACAGAGAAAAGGTTTGGGCCGGTCTGTGTCTGCGTGTGTGTGTGTGTGTGTCTGCAGCCCTATTTGCATTCCTCAAACCTGTCCCAGTAAACTAATTGGCGTTACTAATAGATGGCTGGATGAACTGCAGCCCTGTATGATAATGAATTCACACGATCTGGTGTCATCACTGAAGGACTAGTTAAAATGCAAATGAATGACGGCCCTGTTATGTGCCTTACAATTTGGGGGTCCGTGTTACTAGCATGTTACAATGAGCCCCTTGTTCATGCATGAAAGTTCAATTAGGGCCAACAAGCACACCGACAATGAGCCTATAGGAGAAAATTGGATTTTAGGGGTAAAGTTTTCAAAACTCTTGGCTAATTTGGATGATAAATATAAAGTAGTGCTACTATTTTAGAAGGTATAAACTCTTATTTGGAGTAGCTCTTTCCCAGATAGCCTAAAATCTGGACTGTGCATCCCTCTCAAGAAATTCCCATGCAGTTTTCCCAAACATCTGACACCTTTCCTGTGTTCCTCCCCTCCCTCCCTGTCCACTCATTGTTTCACCGCGGCAGATGCCAGAACAGAAGCGTTCGTGTGTTCATGTCTGCGCATGTGACCAGGAAAGCAGTGAGAGACATGTTGAAAGTAAAAATGTTGTTTGTTTGTTTTTTGCAGCTGAAAAGTAATACTGAAGTGGTTTGGGGGGAAAAAGTGCATGTAAAACACCCAGGTGGAAAGCAGAGCTTAGAATCATCTATAGGAAGTTTGGGTCAAGGTCTTCTACTTTAAACCAACAGAAAACAATGGAGCGTGTTTATCTAGAAACAGTCTGAAATGTTTAGAGGAGAACAGCCAGACCTTCTTCAGATACTGTCATAGTGAGAAAAGCGACGCTGACACTTGCTTATTTCAGAAATGAGTTACACAGATGAAGACGGCTGAGGGAAACTATAACCTAATTTAATCCTGTGTGTTGTTTTAAAGTAAATGAAGCGCTGATTCCAGCAGAAGTACTACTTTCCGCCTCTGGAGGTCGCTGTAGATCCCATATTATCCACACAATTGTCTCCATTCAGAGCAGCTTAAAGTGGACTTTGTGGCTTAACATTTTGGTTCCAGCAGTGTTACTTACAGGACTTAAATCTAACCTACTGCTACACATCAGATTTGTTTTTACTTTGTTGTTGTTGTTACATTTCCTCTTTAATCTTGCCACACGACGTCCTCCGTGTGGCTATTATTTCTCCCCTGAAGCAAAGGAAAAGCAATTTACTTAAAAAGCTGACTAGACCTGAATCATTCCCACTGCAGATCCCCGTTACCAGCTTTCATCACATCTTTTCTGTCGACTGATTTTATATCCAAAGGTCTGCTACATGCAGCAGCTTTTGGAAAACACTTCTTCAGCAAATCAGAAATACACCATCACAGTCCACTCACAATGCATACATGACATATGCAGTGTTTTATTTAAAAACCTGAAAATGGTCAACCTCCCTTATTGTGACACCCCTAAAAAGTCCATTGCAACCAGTTATGTCTAAAGTAACCTAACAGATAAATAGAGTCCGCCTGTTTTTGATTTAATTTCAGTATAAATCCTTTCGAGTTCGTCAGAGAACATTAGTGAACTAACAACATCATAAAAACCAAGCAAGACACCAGACAGATTAGAGATTACACTATAAAGTAGTTTAAAGAAAGGTTAGGGTATAAAATAATATAAACATCTCAACACACCTGTCGACTGAAACCGACATGTAACTGGAGGAGCCACAGAGATCCACAGCTCAGGTGGGAGAAAGAAGGAAAACTACCAAGAGATCCAGCAAACATTTAAAAGAAGGAGTTTTAAGGATCGATTGAGATCCTGATAAACGACCTGAAAGTTTGAGACTGTATTTTGTCAAAATGTAAAACGGTTCATGCAGTATGAGTATACTTGCATGACTCTGTTAATGCACTATCTGAACACGTTCAGGGGAAGTTTAAATACAATACAATTTAAATACAATCTTACTAACAAAAGAAATAATAACAATACATTTGTCACTGACCTTGGACATACCAGTGAAAAATTGTTACTCTGAGCCTGAGGACAAACCCTAATTTGTAGATTTTTGTGCTGGCGACTCGTTCAGCTCAGTTTCAACTCAGCAGGGTGCCAAAATAAAACCAAGGAAACATTAAGAAAAGAAGCTCAGAGTGATAACAGGGAATAGTGTAAACATCATTATCTTTATTTTTCTTACCAATTTCTCCTCTCAGTCCCTTCATAGCGGATTATCTGCCTGCGCTTTCCTGTTGTTTTATAAAGACTCTACCTTGGTCAGAGACGGACTGCTTCCTGTCTGTTTAAGAATTTCTGAAACCTGAAGTCCCACGGCTTCCCTCATCATATCCATAATGGGGCTGCGCAAGAGAGGCTTCACTCTGGGACGCACTGGCTGGCAGACAGAGTCAAAAACGAAGAGATGGGGAGAGGGGCAAACAGATGTTTGAATCTCAGCCCCGGGGCATCTGAGATTAATCTATCCTCCCAGGCAGAGGCAGAACCAGAGAGGTAGAGGATGTAATAAAAAGGTTGGCTTTGAGTAAAACAGGCAGTACTGTACATATTGAGACATCTTCTCCCTTGCAGAGGTTCTGGAGCTATTCCAGGTCCCAGAGCCAAGCTGCCAATCAAACACACACGGTATGTTCTCGCCTCTCTCCTATCAGTCGCACGCGGCCGGTGTGAAAATATCATCAATGTGTTTTGTATATTTAGGTCCTAAGCAAGCACAGCATCAGAGAGACCTGCAACTTCTGTTTGTTTCTGTTCGGTTGAACAAAAGAAGTGGGATCCAATTATGGATTTCGTGTGGATTATGATGGAGGGGAAAAAAAAAAAAAGGTTTGAACTACGTCTAACTTCTGCTTCCAAGAATGTAGGTGTTCTTGCAATCATTTAATGTTGAGTTTAAAATGTTATTGATGCCCATTTACTCTGATACTCTTGAATAAAATCAAGTGCTCTCAAGACTTCTAGCAGATATTTGAAAGATCTTCTTTGGACTCTGGCTGATGTTACTGCATCACATTTTCTGTCCTGTTCTTGCACCTGACCATGACAGCATTTTGTGCTTTGTGTGCCTAAAAATGAGAAAAGTAAACAGGTGGAAAGTCATCAATTGTTTTCTGCTTAACCAACATCAAGTCACGGAGATAAGAGGTCTGGGAAACCAAAAGCATCCCTCTCCAGAGGGATGCTTTTGGTGTTTTTGGGGGGTTTTCTTAGTGTCCTGTCCAGCAGTGTGGCAGTCAGAAATGTTGTGTCACTGTCTCAAGTGGAGCATTATAGCTTTCGTCATGATGCTCCACTTGATATACATACATAAAACTTTATTAGAAATTGCTCTGGGTTTATTTAAAATGAAATGTACACGGAGGCAAAAGTGAGGAAAGGAGAAAGGTGGGGACAGGGTTTAAAGGGAAAGAAGGAGATAGAAGCAGGGGCTAGAAAGAAGCACAGAGAGAATACAGGTTAACACCAGCAGTCTGCCTCTAGACCTGTGAAAAGAGGGGAAAAAACCAAAATGTTTTTTGTTGTTTCTGCCCAGACTCTGCTCTCTGTAGGAGGCATAATAGTCGGATGTCTGAAACCTCTCGTCTGACTCCTTTCGATGCTAAAAAGCAGAAACTCTACTTTTAAACCCCCATCCAGAGATAACAGAGCTCGTCACTCTGCCTCGCTCCAGAGAGAGCTCATTACAGCTGCTTGTATCTGGGATCCGTTTCTCACACAGCTGGGAGAACTTCACTTTTGGGCTCGGCAGTTTCTCCTCCCCAACAGACAGGATCCGTGTCCGTAAGACAGCAGCCTCCTCTGTCTCCTGCTCCATCCAACCGTTGAACAAGACACTTTAACTCTGACTGACCCAAAGCCCGACCCTTCCATCCAGAGGGACAAATCCAGCTTTATCTGGTTGAGGACCGTTCAAACTTAGATGAGCTGACTCTCATCGCAGGTTTTTCAACACGAAGGTGAACACTTTCAGTGCAGGCTGAGGGTCATGGCTTACAGCTACAAACAAAATCACACTGAGACCCTGAGGTTCCCAGACACACTCTTCTCCATGATAACACATTAAACACATATTACCAATAGATGCTTCTTTGCATCAGCAAAAGGGAAGACAAGTTTATTTTTTTTACGGCACCATTTATTCACAGGGTCATTCAAAATCCTTTAAAACAAAGAGGCATATAATTTTAATGAGTAGAAGTTAACAGTCTTCTGTGAAGCCTTGATGAACTTTTCAGGAAGTGATTCAGCACTTGTTTAATAAGACACAGCTTCAAATGCCAGACCACTGATCTGTGTATGAATTTTCAGGTAATAATTGGCTAAAATACAATTTTGTGTCTATCAATTTTTCATATTCAAAACTTCATAAATACAGTGATGGAGTTATTTCAGTAACTCCATCACCAAGTGAAACATATTGTATAGAGTAACATAGGCAAAGACTGATATTTTAGCATCTTTATTTCTCTTAATTGTGTTGATTTTGTGCTAATAGCTCATGAAAACACAACATTCAAAATTAGGCTATCACATCAGACCATTATACATGTATTAAAAAAAATTAAAAACAAAAATGTGGGTTTAATGAAAAGAATGTTTAACACTGGCTTGAAGATTGTTTTTTTTATGATTCTTTTAATCTGACAAACAAGACTCATTGGGATGCATATTATAATTTACTGAATATGACTATATTCAGCTAAAAATGTGTTGTTACACTCTAGGGTAGAGTTAGTCTCTTCGGATCCAGATGTTAAATAATCTCATTTCCTTATTTGGCAAAGAAGGTTTGCTAAAACCTTTATTTGCTTCATAAATTGTCCATCAGGCAAAGAAATGCAGGTTTATCCTTTGAGTTGCTGGAGGTTGTTTTCACCTTAATGACACAATAAGCAAATAAAAATACATTTATGTGAAAACAGTCGAGTACTGGGTTGAACTAATCCAAAAAGCAGCCCAAATAGGAATGAAACCATCTTAACCTGAAGAAAAACACATCCCCTCAAAATGATGGAGCCATTACTATGCGCCATGATAAGTTGAAATGTAGAAAACACACACACACCCATTTTACATTCAATTCCGACCACAGATCCAGTCGAAACTTTCTGTCGGTGTCAGAACTTCCAAGGAATATTAAATCGGCTTGGATTGATAAACTGTGGAATAAGGTCCATCCATACAGTTTTAACGATGATCATCTGGTCCGGTGCGGCTGCTCTCGTAGGCGGTCTGGAAAGCAGCCATTTTGGCTGAGTGTAAAATATTCATGAACTATCAATGGTCGCCCATCTGACTGGCTTGGGAACAGCTGTTGGGTCCCTGTGCCTCTAGAGGTGCAGCATCTGTCCATCTGAGGAGAGCGAATGTGGGTTTGTGTGAGCCGATGCTGGCGTTTACACGTGCGTTCTTGTGTGGGTGTGTGTGTGTGTGTGTGTGTGTGCGTAGGGGCATGGGTTGGGATGTGCGTGTGTTCGTGTCTCAGGGGGACAAGACATTAGGAGGAACAACTGTGTATTTAACTTGCTTATCTCCTCCAGATGGTGGAGGATTATTTTAGAGATGATCAAACAGCAAGTCTCAGTTTTATCAGGATTTGCACTTGCCAATCAAATATCACTCTCATATGAAGACATAAATACAAGGTGAGGAGCACATTATGCAGTCGTCTCGGCACCGTGTGTGATGTGTTAAACGGAGCGTCTTTTTTCTGCATTTTCGCATGTAAAACCCAATCCAATCTTTAGGTATATTTTTGTGTCCGAGCATCAGCACATCACAGCTCTCTCTGAGCTGCGTCTTTGCGTTCGTGTGAAGCTCTCGGAAAACTGTGCAGCTTTGGCAGTGGTTGTATGATGGACATCTGGAAGCTAAATTGGTTAATGGTGCCTCCAAGCCAAGAGCCAGCCAGCCGTCTTCTAGCTGAGATAAAAGAGATGTGTGTGTGTGTGTGTGTGTGTGTGTGTGTGTGTGTGTGTGTGAGTACGTTAGAAAAGTGGGGAGGTGGATTTAGGCTGAATTTTACATCTGGCCAGACGCTGAACCAAAGACGAACACCCCTGCTGGACAATTAAGAGCTTTTACCTTCCAGATTTATTATTTTGTGTGTTGACTTCAGAGAATTCGCTCATCTAAAATCTAATAATTTGTCATCATGGGTGGAGATCTATAATAGCATCGGGTTTCCGAATGAAGATGAAAATTCAGAGTATAAATTCAATTGGTTTTCGAAGAGGTGAACATTACATTTGCGGTACATCACAGTCTGACATGTAAGAAACTGTCTCTTTTTTTAGACGTAGAATGCAAACAACTTCAGAGAGGACTACATATTTTAAAAAATCTTGGGAAAATATTATTTTTAAAGGGAGAGTTTGTTGTATTGGTCTTAGTTTTAGCAGGAAATTTCAAAAATGAAATATTCCAACTATAGGAATAAAACAGGTAAAACAATCAAATTAATCGACACCACGTGTGACCTAGGTGACTTTATAAAACTAGAGCGATGGACATTCAGAACATTTGGTGCCAATACTACAGCCCACATTGATAAATGGGGATATCTGAGAGATCTTTCATCTGAGACAGATGACAGAGAAGAAAAGTCAGACCGAAATATTCAACTTCAGCAAGAAGGAAAGAGAAAAACTTGATCAATTCATCATTCATTCATCTTTTTATGCTCCTCTAATCTGGAACACACTTCCAGAAAATTGCCGAAACACCGAGTTCTTTTAAATGATGGCTTAAAACCTGTTTGTTTATAGTTGCCTTTGATTTCTAATAACTGGAACATTGATCACTGTATTTGATCATTTTGATGGCATTTGACTAAATGTAATATTTATGGCTTGTTTCATAACTGGTGACTGTATTGTGTTTTTATGGCGTAAAGCACTTTGAACTGCCTTGCTGCTAAAATGTGCTAAACTTGACTTAACTCAGTGGGGAGCGGGATCTCTGGGTTTCCCTCCTAAACCCTTCAAACCGATGATGCAACCAACTCGATCAAGATGGAGGAGAACTTGATCAACTTCAGTCTGCTTAGAATTTAAGAGGAAAAATCACCGTGTGCAGTACAAAGAGATTTCTGTGTTGTTCGTGCTATTTTGAAAATCCTGTGTCTGTGATCCAGGTATTAGCAGAAGTGAGGCCTGCTGCAGCTGCTATCTGTCCCTAGCAGAATCCACACACACACACACACACACACACACACACACACACACACACACACACACACACACACACAGCACAAACAATAAGTGAGAGGGATAAACACTGACATGGACAGAGCTTTAAATAAATCCAGCCACAGCGGAAGAAGACTGAAAGTGCAACAAGGGGAGCTGTGATCTCCCGAAGCCTCTCTGCTGCAACCTGAGAAATAAAAGTTGAAACGAAACGCTCCGCAGTCGTCCGTGTTCTGTCTGTGACTTTGCCCGCCTGTCTGTCTCCCCTCAGTCCAGATGTCAGAGGAACTAGCCAACAGCTGCGGCAGGAAATGAGCCCCCAGGCAGTGAAAAGGGGCTAACACACTTCCACACAGAAGAGCGAGACCAGAGCGACGGCGCATGCGCGCGTACGCTGCAGCCAACAAAGATGTCACTAAAGGTTAGCATGCTTCTCCACCAGCGCTTTGACGGTTTATTTTTACCTGAGCGGCTCCTCGGTGCCGCTGTCCGCGCTTAGCTTAAGCCTCTCGGTACATTTGTGTGACAGCATTTATGTAACTTTCTCTCTCTCTCTCTCTCTCTCTCTCTCTCTCTCTCTCTCTCTCTCTCTTCTGGATTTATTCATTTTGTTTGATGCGTTTGTATGTGCCAGCCCGTCAGCCCGCCTGCCACAGCATCGCCACCACCCCCCTGGAGCCAGAGGGAACATTTGCCTTGTGGCTCCAATTCCCAGGAATGTCTAACCTGCGCCAGCTGTTGAGAACATGGTACCTGTGCCAACAATGTGCCGACTCTGCCCACCACATCGCTCGCAATTCCGTCTCCATCTGGGTCCAATATTAGATTTTTGAGCGTGTGTGTGTTTGTCAGCAGCTCTTCTGTGGCTTTAATGCTTCCCACATCTGTATTTGAAATTTCATCAATGGGTCCATGAATGCCTTTATTGTGTGTAGCATCCTCTGTGTCAGTGTGCTGATGTGTTTGTGATGTGTTGGGTGTGTGTGTGTGTGGCAGCTCGGTTGCGTATGTGTGTGCCTCCATCTGTGTGCGCTGGGCCTCCCTCGCCTGCATCTGGAGTAGCATTGAAGAGGCTTTCCAACAAGGCTGATGGTGACCAGCCTGCCAAGCAGCCCAGATGTTAGTTCTGTAAGCCTCGGGCTAAATGGAGAGCGCCACACTCTCATTATTCACAACCAGTAAACTGCAACTGCTGCTTTCCAGTGTAGGAGAGCACGAGCGTCAACAGGGAGGAGGAGAGGGAGGACAGAGCGAGCGAGATAAATCATTTCATCACTCCTACAAGGCGGTGACACAAGGACCCCTCTGTGCGCTTGCTAAGTAAGGAGGGATGTGCACAGACTGAGACTAGGTGGTGCTAGAGCACCTGACCTTTTTCCCTAAGCCCATTTCATTCGTATGCATAAGTGCTGTCAATGTTTTATGTTGCTCTTTTCAAAAATGGAGCGACTAATTTAAAGTAAAGATCCACCTCTGGTTGTTACATTCTTCATTTTTTACTCCCATTTGTCCCATTGAGCCCGATTTCTCAAGAAGCATTTCAACAGGGCCGCTCAGCGAATAGAGGAAGTTGTGAATTGATTTTCTGCATTGTTTTAGAATTGTAGTCTGCCTGTAGTTGTAATTTGGCAATGGCAGTGAAGGTAGTGAATGAAGCCGTTCAGTTTGTGTAGGCTACACTTCCAAAAATTGAACAATTAAAGTCGAGGGAAGAGAAATGCTTAAAGACATTTTATTGCTGGTAAAGACATCGTGGGGTTGGTTACAGCTCACTCAATTTCCGGTTATCCTCTTTTTGTAGCTTCTTTCACCTCCCATCGAGACAGAGCATTACATACGTCACGGCCAAATGTTAGCGACTATAAGATGTAAACAGAGCCCAAACCACTTGCAAACAATCGTTTCTCAATATCTGAAAGTCTAGAACCTCTGGACGAAGCAAAAGGGATTGGTTTTTACCAGGCTACTGGGAGTCAGTAGGTACATTGAAACCAAGATGTGTGAGTTTTCAACAAATGTGGCTTTGTATTGTGATAAACCCAAAACCTGCTGAGGAACAAGGAAACATGAGATTTGAGCTCTGAAGTAGCCCTTACCACCACCTCTGAAATTGTTCTATTTGTCAATGCAGTGACATACATGTCACCTATTCATTACATTTGTAAGATCATGTTGCCAAATTTCATCCTAAAAAAATATTTTTGGGGGCTGGCAAAGTCGCAGGGGTAAAGCTTGTGACCCATATACGGAGGCCTCGAACCCGTGACCCGTGGCCGTCACGGGTTCCAGTCCCAGCCTGTTGACCTTTACCCTTTCTCACAACCTGCTTTCCTGTCTGGCCACTGACAAATAAAGGCTACTGAAGCTGGAAAACAAATTTAAAGACATATATTTTCTCTTTCTAAAAATTAAGAAACAACTTAATTGTTTCTTAATCGAAAATTAAGAAACAATTGTCTGTCGTTGCAGTGCTGGTTTGAGAGTTCTTACATCTTGTCATTTGGGCAGAAACATCTCCTTATGAGCTGACCAACAGCTGTTGTGTGATTGATCAGAAATCTGAAGTGGGTCCGGTTACTACACTGACAAACGCTCCGGTGGGAGCGTGGGACCAACCATAAATTTAGTAGATTTACATGCAAGCTTTTGTGAAATATAAAATGTTCTGGTCTTGGAAAAACATTGCCCTTACCACCTTAAAGAACATATTTGTATGTTCTAGCTGAGTATGTACACATCTTACAATGTAGTCCCACATTCTTTGAGTCCCTGGAGTAGTTGTAGAAATAACCATTACAATTCAAATGTCCTTTTTTTTTTTCTGTATGGCAGCGCCGCAATTTGGAAGAGTGCAAACTATTGTTTTGGTTTCCTCCAACTTTCGAATGGAGCATCTGCCTCTATCTGTTATTAGCTGTGGTTTGGAGCGTACAGGTGGATTTATATAGCTTCCTTTTAATTAGTCAAACTGCTGTTGTTGCTGAAAAGACTGAGCACAAAGTAAACAAACCAACAGCAAAAAAGACCACAAACATAATAATAATAAATAATAAAAAAAAGTAAAAAGTTAACCAGCATTTTGTGAATAATAGCCTTTACCTTCGATTTATATGGACAGTTATCCTGCTTTAAAAGGACATAAACTTGCAGATTCAAGAATACCAAGAACATAAACAACAGCATTAAAACAACAAAAATAGACATCGGCTATTGTACACAGAGACTTTCATAAATCTACTCTGACATAGGAGCAGGTTACCACGAGGTCACCTTCTGTCCTTTCTGTGAGCTCCGGAGCCGTCGCTTTCCAAACAACCAGGAGCAAACATCCGTCCATAAACAGGAGAACCATTCTGGAAACAAAAACACAACACGTCCCATCAAACAGTGGGACACAATTAGCTTGATCATCTGGACGGGAGTAGCTGTAATATTGGGGCAGATTCAGCTGTTTTGAGCGCGCGAGTGTGTGTGCGTGCCATGATAACCACTGAGGTGGCATCTGTGAGGCTGCTTTAGCTGTGTTTGTGAGATCCATGTGCACGGACTTCCACAGGGCTTAGAGAGGCGGTACACACACACACACACACCCAACCCCCCCATATGGTGAGCTGTCACAGTGGCAGCGTGATGCAGACCTCCCCTGTGTGGGACCTCCAGCCAGCCGTCGGACTCACCAAGTAAACAACAACTGGACGCGGAGTGAGGCCCTTGTATTTGTTGGACTACTCCGGGATGTTATCCCTCTAAATCTGTGATAATGACAAATGTATGATCCATTTCTCACGTGAATTACCACAGGTCAGATGTTGGTATTTACACTTCAGTGATATCTCCTCATCTGTTTGGCAGTTTTGACAATGGAGCTGTTTTTGTCAACAAACCATTTGACTTTAAAAAAAAAAAGAAAGCAGCCAGGTTTTCACAGAAAAATGAGCCGATTTGCAGGCCTTTGCGAAAGTATACATCCCCTTGAATAATTTGTCACAAACCCTAATGTATTTTATTTGGATTTTCTGAACTACATCAGCATAAAATAGCACTTAACTGTGAAAACAGGAAAAGGATATGTGGATATGAGGATATCCATCCTCCCTTACTTTGATAACCCTAGAAAATATTTAATACAACAAATTTGCATTCTGAATAGAATCCATCAGTGGATACAAGCATTAAACTTGCATAGTCGTCCCTCACGTTATATGTTTATCATATTTCCCATTAGCCACTTGAGTTTTAGGATGACAGATGTTTTCTCAATATGGCTGCCATTTTTGAGTCTTTTAAACCTATTATTGCCATAAAATGTTACCATGACTTGGATGAGCTTTAAGTCACATTATATGTTTTTGAACGTGGTCATCCTATTCGTAAAGTAACAATATGTAGCTAAATTATAAACTGAGGACTTTGGTGTTTGCGAGTCCCACACCAATTGGCAACTGGAAGGAAAGAAAGATGTGACACAGACTGGGAGACAGTCATCTTGTTAGCATTAGCTTCCACTCATCTTTTTAATGTTTTTAGCAGTTAAGGATTAGCTTCTGCTATTTTTTTTTATGTGTTTAGACCTTTAGCATTAGCACAGCTAAGATTCATGTTTAGCAAATGGGTCTAACTTTCTGATTTGATGCGCCCATCACTGGTAACAACTACAACCAATTTTAGTGTAATATTTAATCTGCGTTACAACCACGGTGGCCATTTTGATAAATGTCCACCAAGTCAAGTTCAAGAAAATAGATATGTTTTCTGTTGATCAAAATATGCAGGGCTATGATTGGACACCACACACATTCAACGATTTTAGTGCAAAAATAAAATTTATTTCACAACCATGGAAAATCAAATGATTAACAAATATGATTTCGATAGGTCCACTTATGTGTGATTTGACACCAAAAGTGTGCTATATGCTTTGATAAATATGAGCAGATTTAGTTCAAAAACACATTTTCCTTGACAACCATCTTGATAAATATCATCTTGAGCAACTCCATTGTAAAACAAGCAGGTGGCAGCATCATGCTAAGGCCATCCTTTTCTTGAGCAGGGACATGGACGTTGGTCATCCATCTTCCTCGATGGGAAAACAGATACTGGACAATCCTGGAGGATGATCTGCTGGA